TCATAGCCACAAGATGGCAGTGCCCAGTCCCTCAGCCTTGTTGGAGTTCCCCAGTCCTTTCAGCCCCACTTGGGCTGGGGTGGGGGGGGGTGGCAGACACATAGTGCGGTCAAACCCGCCCTCAGGCAGGTCCAGCCGCTCCTTGCACCTGTTGCCAGAGTCCCACAGTCCTTTCAGCCCAGCAGGGGCGGGGCAGGGGGCATGCAGCAGGTGCATGGTGTGGCTGGACCCCACCCTCAGTCCCCCAGCTGCCCAGGGCTGGCCCAAGGCACAGGCAAGCCTCGGATGTCAGCTACCAAGCCGCCCAGGGCTGCCCAAGGCTCAGGTAATCAGGGCCAGCTGAGGCTTGCGCTGCTGGCACTGGCAGCAGCACAGGTGTGATGGGGACATTGCCTTCCCCTGATCGCTGGGCTGCCTCCTGGCCCTGAGGGCTCCTGGACTGTGAGAGGGGGCAGGCCAGGCTGAGGGATCTCCTCCCTCCAGTTCATGAATTTTTATGCACCGGGCCTCTAGTTCAACATAAGAGTACACCATCACTCTCATTACTCTTAGAACCACAAGTCTGTTGTTCTCTATAGAAACCAGCATACACCCTGCCAACGTGAGGCCCATCCTGGCATTTGTCAGCACCTTTTCTTTTGTCACTCATAAGGTCCATTCTTTCTTCTGTTTGTATCCCTAGCACCCAAACAAGGACAGCAGGTGAGTCAACCCTGTGGCTAGGAACACGGAGCTTCAGGTGAAGTGCAAATACCCTGAGGGGGAGGCAGGGCTCTAGAGAGCATAGCCCAAGGCTTCGAACATCAGTGGAGGGAGCCTGTGGAGTCCTTAACCATACCCTCAGCTGCTATGCCCATCCATTCTTTTGGCATAGGTTGCTGGGAACCAGGGGAGAAACCAATTAGAACCCAGTTTTAAATACTTTTCAACACTAATGAGCCCTACACAAAGAGCTTTTATAAACGTTGCCTAACTACATTCTCACTCAATTTTGGGAACCGGGAATGATTAGCCCCCCCTTTCATAAATGAAGAAGCAGACTCATAATGGACAGGGTCGGGGCAGGGTTTGACTGAGTTTCTCTAATAGGCCCAGGCTTCCCCGATAGCATTTCTATTAAAGCCACAATGACTTATCATCAAGGCGCCCTCTGCCACTCCATTAAGTTGATTAACAACAACTCCAGCTTTAGAAATCAGGGCATAGAAGCAAACAAAGCCGGCACCCCACCTGGCTGGGGGTGGCTGGGAGCGTGGAAGAACCTGAGGTCTCGCAGAGGAGGCTGTCGTTCAACACCTTTGCTGCTCCCACACTCCTGTTGGGTGTCCCTGGACTCTGAGGGGACAGGATGTGGCTACGACTGTTCATGGGAAGCCAGCAGACAAGTCCTGAGACGATCAGCCACCGTTTCCCTCCCACTCCTCCCAACCGTCAGCACAAATAACAGCCTGCTTCCTCGCAGCAGAGAAGACATTTGGTTCACACTTGCAGAGAATTCCATCGTCACTGTCCACTGCGCACGGGGTGGAGTCAGAAAGGCACTGTGGGACAAGGACGTCCGAGGGGGTGGGGGGAGTCACTCAAATTGCTACTTTCTACATGATTTTGGTATTGAAATTCGTCTCCCTGCGGCCTTGAAAGTCTTGACCAAGACCTGGGAGTTGGTTGTACTAGAATGGAACCCATTGGTTCAAAGGAGGTATGTTCAGCTGGAAAAACAAGGGCACCTCCTGCTCTATATCATATTCTAATGCAAACACAGAAAAGACAGCACACGTGAGCAGCGTGCTAAGCTCTGTAGCCGTGAGCTGTGTTTTAATGAGAGGACGCGTCCCTTCAACATGGTGCCTTGGCTAATTGGACCGGATTCTTCATCTCTGGGGACACAGGGCTATAAATAAAAGCTCCCCATGGATGCATAATGGCCTGTCCGCTCTCCAGCTTGCTCGCCTCCTCACCTTACCCTGCACGAAAGTGGCACCACATCAGTCAGCCGCCCGCTGGCCCATGAAGGCGAGGGCCCCGCACAAAAGCCCCACAGAACCATGTCGGGCCACATCGCCATCGCCAGTGCGCTCAGGTGAAATAACAAGCCGCATGTCCTTTCCCCCTCTCTCGTCTGAATATAAAAACAGACCAATACCCTGCACACACTGTGCTGAGTTTCCTAGACAGGCATATAGTATGACTGTCTGTAACTTTCCATGGGCCTCCTCGGGTTACCATACATATTCACACACATACCAGCATTTGAAGAAAGAAAGATGGGCGGGGGGAGAGGAGGAAAAGGGGGTTTGCTTGGTGATTATTTTTAATTGAATTCATCTGGGAATTTTAAATGCTGGAAATGTAGCGCCTCTTTGCAGTAACTGAAGGTTGGGACAGCATATGATTTTTGTCCCTTTGAAAGGCAAGTCTCCCTTTTCCATCAAAGAGGAAGTTTCTTCAGTGGGTAATGCATTTCAGGGCCAACTGTATAAATCATTAAGTTATAAAACGACGGCGTGGGTCAGTGGCGATAAAATCCACTGTCCCTCCACACTCCTTTGAAGGCAGTCTCGTGTTTACAGCTTCCTCCTCGAGGCAGGATCTTTGTGTCTCTGCAATGTTGATGCTGAGCCCCTGCTTGGTTGTGTTAGGACCACAGGGACCCAGGAACCAAAGAGCAGCTGAGTGGGAGAATGCCGTGGGCATCTGGAACTAGATCTTGCTTCTCTGACTTTCAGTGAGCCACTCTGGCAATGAATGAGGCTCTGTGATACAGATGTCACTGTGTCTGAACAGGACATCCTGGTCACAGGTGGCTTGAAAAGTCTCCAGTCTGTTCTCTGAAGACCCGTGGGGTTCTCCAGAAACTGGCCAGTCAAGCATCAGCTGCCCAGGTCTCCCTTCTGGCCAAATTGGAATTTATTCTCGTAGAGAAAGTCAGTGAGTTAATATGCCAAGGGCCTGAGCCCAATCCTATAAACACTTGATGAGTTGCTACCTTCTGGGTTTCGGGGATCTATCTCTCCCTGCCAACCTCCTGTGCCCTCCGGACCACAGGGGCTCCCTCACACACAGCACAAGGGTGCTGCACAAACGTTGGCATCGCTCGGTGGACACAGGAGATGGCATACAAAGGTGCGGAGATTCTGGGCCCCCCAACTGAGCCTGAAGTAAGGACACATGGATGCACAAAGCCATGCACACTTGGGAAAGCTAGCACAAACTCACTGGGTCAGCACACAGGTGCAGGCTCTCTACCCAAGCACTCTCTCCATCTTTGAGATCTTGTCTCTCACCTGCTCACCGTGATCAAAGCCTCGGTTCCCCCACCACAGGGTTCAAAATGTGACATAGTCATCTCCCTTGGGGAGGCAGAGGGGAGAGCATGGGAGGGATCTGAAAGTTGCAGGCCACAGGGCACCTGGGCCTCCAGCAAGTGCCAATGCGCTCATAGCCGGGGTGGCTCCCCTCTGGGGTCTGGGAGCTCCCTGGAGCCAACCTCTATCATTGTGCAATCACATGTGCATTTTTTTATTTTTTCAACTTAAGGACGATGCTCTTTTTTCTAATTCACAGCCCCATGAGTTCTGTTTCCCTGCCCCTTCCATTCCATGGCTTCTGCACAGGCCCTCCTTCCCTCCTGGGTCCCCCCACAGAGACTTAAATCTGGAATATCTTAAAGCTTTTTCCACCACACCCTACAGCTGTTTGGCTTTTGTTTGGCTTTCCTCTCTCTCTTCCCAACTTTGAAAACTGGACTCTCTTCCCTCCTGACCTCAGTGCATCCTGTCTTATTTCTAAGACTTCTGTCCTCTCGGAGTTGGGAGAGCTGGTGACAATCACCGCCTCACTTGAAGCTGGGGAAATCGAGGTGACCTAGCCTGTAAGTGACAAAGTCATGCTTCTAAGCTTCACCGCCAGAGTTCCTTTCATTTCACCACACAGCTTGCCCCCACCTCAATCCCCAGGTCCCTTGAATGGTGGGTCACTGGACCCCTCTCCCCACCCCCACCCCCACACCTAGCCTGCAGTATGTATTTGAACTCTGTGCCAAAATCAAGCAAAAAAGAACCCATCAACACTAACCATGTCAACACCACCTTCCTAACTATCATGAATACACCAGTTCTCTCCTGGGGATAAGGCCAAAAGAGGCAGGGACAATCCTTGATCTTCTCCTCTCCCCTTCCCCCTCCCTCTGGAAGGCCAGGAATGCACCAAAGGGGAAATCTCATAGTCTGGAAGTGTGCACAGGGCACTTGTGGACAGAGAGGCTGGTCCTTGCGGTCTCCACAAAGGGGGCATACTTTTACTGTGGCCCATGTCTCCAGGAAGACGCCTTGTCCCTGCCTCATCAGGCATCTGCATCTTGAGCTAGCCACTTCTCTGAGAAGATAACTGCAGGTGAGACACCGCTGGCCTGGGAGTCTGGAGACCAGTGACTCCTATTGGGTCTTCTTTTGTGAAATGATGCCCCTTCCAACTGTAGGACTCTATAATTCTATTAAAAATGCCGTTGGACTAAACAACAGGCACCTCAGTAGCAGGCATATCACACAGGGTCAGAGCATGAAGCCTGGAGTGGGAGGACACCCTTTTCCCTTTAGGCCACTGGGTTCCACTAAGGTTTTCTTGCCCTCAGCTCCCTGGTCAGGGCTGACATTATACAAGGCAGGGGCCAGGCCACAGGCTTTAGGGCATTCCACGCTCAATGCCCCAGGTCTTATGAATCCCCCAGGTCTCAGATCAATGCACCCTTATTCCCCTTGCAAGGCTGCGATGGAGCCATCAAATGACAACTGAATCTAATCTCTGTTATTTCTGATGCAAAGTTGCAGGAATGTAGAGCCTGTTACCAGAATGCATAGGTCTGATCTTGGCCAAGATGAGGCAGGAAAAGTGCCTGCAAGTCAGCTCCCTTCTGCCCAGGCTCTGAAGCCTCGGTCACCTTCGGCAGGTACACCAAGATGCGTGTGCCTTGGGGTGTGAGCACAGGGGAGACGACAACTCACGTGGTTCCTTCTGCCTCCATCCTCTCCCACAGACGTGATCACTGTCTCTGAAAAGACCGTTTGTACAGTCTGGTTGGTGGTGATCTACAATAGAACAGGCACAGTGAGTGTGAAATAGAAGGAACTCTGGGCAAATTCCACAACTTCTTTTCTTTCTATTTTCTGAAGCGGGGCATCCAGCCAAGCAGACTGACTGCCCCTCCCTCTTTCCTTCCCTCCAGATGAGCAGCCTCTCCTCTGAGCAGTGATCATCAGTGTCTCAGATTCCGCCTCCCAGAGCTGCTGTGTGGAGGGATGAGGTGGTCTGTGAAAGCACTCAGCACAGAGCCTGTCACCCAGCACATACTCAGCATTCGCTATTTGTATAGTATTTGGGGCTCATCACTTGAAACTCAAGGTAGACTTTCTTTTCAAGGGCTACAGGTCTGGGTGTCTAATCAAACATCTTTCATGAGAAGCAAGCAGGTTTTAGCTACAGCTGCCCTGCTCCTGATTCAGGTGAACTATCTTTATTTTATCGAGAAGTACTTAAGCCCAGCTGATATGGCTCAGTGGTTAAGCAATGACCTATGAACCAGGAGGTCACGGTTCGATTCCTGGTCAGAGCACATGCTGGGTTGCAGGTTTGATACCCAGTGTGGGCTGTGTCAGAGGCAGCCAATCAATAATTCTCTCCCATCATTGATGTTTCTATCTCTCTCTCCCTCTCCCTTCCTCTCTAAAATCTTCATTGAGCTAAGTTTAAGTGCTATATATATATATATATATATATATATATATACTCAATGAAGAACACACTCAGGACAAAGAAAGGCACCCAGGATCAGTGGGGTGGCTCTCAGATCAAGATGGTGGTGGTAAATCAATAAATCCCACACTCAGATCAACGCAGGCAGCACTCAGATCAACTGAGTCTCTGGAGATGGGCCTTATGCATCACTAGTTCGTAAAGCTCCCATGTGTTTTACAAATGTGTTTTAGGAATCACCATGTGCAGCCATGTGTGAGACTGAGATCAAAGCTCTGAAGAGCTCTAAAAACTACCCAGTATCAGTGATATCAAACCTCTGAGGATTGGGCTGGGGTTGTGACAGGCTCCTAGGTAATCCTGATGCACTACCTAAGAATTTAAAACTAGTAGTATATACCTTGCCCTACGGAGGATTATAGTAAACTAGAGGCCTAGTGCACAAATTCGTGCACAGGTGGGGTCCCTCGGCCTGGCCAGTGATCGGGGCCCATATGGGCCACAGGAGGTTGGCTAGTGAAGAAGGAGGCTGTGGGGGTTGGTCAGCTGCAGGAGGTTGGCTGTTGGGAGTGCACTGGCCACCAGGGGGCAACTCCTGCATTGAGTGTCTGCCTCATGATGGTCAATGCACATCATAGTGACTGGTTGACTGGTTGTTCAGTCAATCAGTTGCTTAGGCTTTTATATATATAGATTAGGGGAAAAGATGACATATGTGTGAAACTCTTGAGAAGTAAAAAAAAAGTCCATGTTTGAGTACCAAAAAAATGAATAAGAAGCAAGGAATGAAAAGAAAATTAAGTACTAAATATTTAATAAGCAAAAATAATTTTTATTTTTGGCTTATGTATCAAATATGTAAAGAAAACCTTAGTGCTCGGATGGGACTGGGCGCTAGAGAAAGGAGAAGGCTCTGGCCAGGACTGCCCATACCTTGTGAATTTCTCGGTGCACATGGATGGTGGTATTGCCAACCTTGGTTTCTGTGTTGGTCTCATTATGGTAGCTGGGAGGTAAGTTTACCAGGTTCACTTCTGACGATGTTTTAGCAGCAGCTTCTTCTGCCTCCATCTATTAAATCAATGGATTAAATGAGCAATTTCCCCCGCCCTCTAGAGACAAGTCAGAGTCGATTAGGGAAAAAGATCCATGGAGATGCAGAGTAACAGCATAGGAAACAGACAATATTATGTACATGCCGATATTCCTATTTCATTAATGTGATCAGGGAGGGTCAGGACATCTAAATAATTTAAAGGCATTCTGATAGTTAATGATATTGTAATAACTATGCCTGGTGCCAGGGAATACCAAGGGGGTCACTCTGTAAAGTATCTGATTGTCTAACCACTATACTGTACACCTGAAACTAATACAAAATAGACTTGGCTGTAAACTGTAATTGAAAGAAACTTTTTAAAAGAAAAACAAACCACTTCTCTTTTTCTCTTTGCAATTACAAATATGGTAATAATGATAGGTATCTTTAGTTATAGCCATAAACCTTACAACCTCCCCTTGAGGTGTGTGTTATGTTCCTGTTTTATAAGTGGGGCAGCTGAGGCTCAGGGAGACTAAATAACTTCCCAGGACTCTATGTGAAGGACAGAGCTGGGATCTGAGCATGTTCCCATTGAACAGTGTTAGCCCCTGTACAAAAGCTGCTGGTGCCCTGCCCATCTCCCCATGGCCCAAGCCAGAGGCCACCTGAGAAAGAACCATTGATAGGCTGCCTCCTGCATGACCGCTAGTAGAGATGAAGCCCACAATCTGGGGATGTGCCCTTGACAGGAATCAAACCTGGAACCCTTCAGTCTGAAAGCCATCGCTCTACCCACTGAGCCAAAGCGGCTAGAGCAGCTCGCTCTCTCTCTCTCTCTCTCTCTCTCTCTCTCTCTCTCTCTCTCCCTCTCTCTCTCAAATAGATTTTTAAAATATATATTTTATTGATGTTTTACAGAGAGGAAGGGAGAAGATAGAGAGCTAGAAACATCATTGAGAGAGAAACATCGACTAGCTGCCTCCTGCACACCCCCTACTGGGGATGTGCTCGCAACCAGTGTACATGCCCTTGACTGGAATTGAACCTGGGACCTTTCAGTCCGCAGACCTATGCTCTATCCACTGAGCCAAACCAGTTTTGGCCAGCTTTCTCTCTCTCTCTCTCTCTCTCTCTCTCTCTCTCTCTCTCTCTCTCTCTCTCTCTTTCTCTCTTTTTTTTTTTTTTTTTTTTTTTTTTTTTTTGTAAAATAAGGGATGATGCTACTCTGCTGAGCAGATGTAAGAATTAGGATCACAAAATCCAAGTGCCTGGTCTGGTATTTACCATCAAGCAAAGGGATAATACATAGCTACTTTCACAATACTGCCCTTTAGGAACACAGTTTTAGAAGCTTTCCAGGGAATGTTTGGGTAGAAATGGAGAGAGCAGGTATCTCTCGTGTGTTTGAAGAGTTTGCTAACAAATCGAGAAGAATGGAATGAAGACAGGAAACGGGCCTTGGCTGGTGTGTTAAGTGGTTAGAGTGTCGGCCCGTTCACTGAAAGGTCTTCAGTTTGATCTCCATCAAGGGCAGGCTCCTGAGTTGCAGGTTGATACACAGTCTTGGTCAGGGCCTGTGCAGGAGGCAATCAATGGATGTGCCTCACATCAATGTTTCTCTCTCTCTCCCCCTCCCTCTGTTACACTCTCTTTAAGGAATCAATGGGAAAAATATCCTCTGGGGAGGATTAACAACAACAAAAGATAGGAGACAGAATGGGCAAAAAAAGGATTTCATTTTTTGTAAGAGAGAGAGGCTGGCATGTTTAGTGATAGAAAAGATAGAGCTTGCAAAGTGTAGGAGACTGCAGATGCTACAGAGGCGATTCCCCACAAGGAGACGGAATGTTTTCATATTTTTAAAATTCTCATGGGAATCCGAATCCACCAGCTTGGTTTTCAAATAATTGACAAGTTACCAAGTCTAGAGTTTGCTTTGGGCTGAGCAGATAGTCTTTTCATAAAACCGCCCTCTCCACCAGTGGTTATTTCAACAGAATGAGCTAACAGTTCTTTAAGGGCACCACAAACTAAAAGTACAGTTTACAATGGAAATTTCAACCACAACTATTACGGCCACGAGCAAGGAAAACTTAGGCCTGAAGCAATCGGGCTTGTTTCACAGAGGAGGAATGTGAACGTTATTTAGAATGGCATTTATGGTTGGTGGAATCTGCATGTCTGCTGAAAGGGTACAGGAGGAAAAGCTGGAGAGGGAAATCCAGGTTTGGTATTGGGTCCTTCCCAGGAACATTCTAAAATATGCCAGTTATAGACGAGGCAATGAGAGTGTGGGGGCAGGGAGTGGAGTAGTTTTATCCTCAAAATACATGTATTAGTAATATATAGAATAATAGGACAGAAAAATAGGAACAGCCTGACTTAACCCATTTGAAGATTTGACTCCCCCAATGATGATATGAAGGGTAGAGTTAGCTTCATCTCTCCTCTCCCCACCACTTGGAGAAATCAACAGCTTGAGTCAGCTGAAGTATTTAAAATGGCAGGAAGTTCTCAGCAGATTCATGATGCAACTACGTAAACAGTTAATACATCTGGCCCAGTCCTTTGGATTCTTACCCTGGACAACAAGTAAACAGCAACTGTTTTGTGTTTATGTGATTTAAGGGACCTTCGGGCAGTCTCTTTAAATATCAGTTAACATCAATAGCCACAATCTATTGAGAATCTATTATATATTGGCCATGGTGGTTCTTTATTTTTATTCATACTAGTACTATTAATATGATTATAACAAAAGCCATTCTTTATTGATAATGAACAAACTTCCTTAATCCTTACAACAACCTCATCAGGACTTACACATTATACCAATTATATCTTTTTTTAAAAATATATTTTTATTGATTTCAGAGAAGAAGGAAGAGAGAGATAGAAACATCAATGAGAAAGAATCATTGATTGGCTGCCTCCTGCACACCCCCTCCTGGGCATTGAGCCCGTAACCAAGACATATGCTTTGACTGAGAATCTAACCAGACCTCCTGGTTCATAGATCAATACTCAATCACTGAGCCACACTGGCCGGGCCAATTATACTTAAACCCATTTTATAGGGTTAGATAACTTCCTTTACTGCATCCTCTCATTTAAGTCTCTCCTTTATCCTAAGTGGGACATTTCCCCCATTAGAGCCTGGATGCCATCACTAGGAAGTGGCAGAGCTAGAGTCGAGTAAAGGAAGGTTGGTCCCCACAGCCTGTTCTCCTGACACCAGGTGTTCAACCTCTCTCTCAACCTGTCCCCACCACTAGTGAGGACACCCTTTAGGGAACAACCATTGAGTCAGGTAACAGTGGCAGCCAATGTCTCTCCTGGTGGCAAACTTCAGTTAACCCATTTGCACAAGTCAAGCAGAGCCACGTCCAGAGGGAGGAAGCTGGCATGCAGGCAGCGTCGACATGGACAATCCCCATAGAGTGGATCCTGCCATTAAGGTCCCACTGGACCCCAGACTGCTCTGATCAATGAAGAGCCTGAAGACACCCAGTTGCTCCCCCATTTCCTCAGGAGCTACCATCGGAGGACCACATGCATGGACAGGTTCACACTGAATAAAGACCTAGTCAGTTTCACTGAGGATCCATGTGCAGGAGGGAAAGTTCTAGAACCCAGAGAAGGAAACCAGAAGGATCACAAGCTCGATTTAATTTGAAGGTGCAGTTTTGGGGGACAGTGGGGCCTAAATGACTCCCCTCCCTCTTTCATTGTTCCATGCCATGATTCTTGTGCTTTCACAGGAAACAGAAGGTCCATGAGTTTAGGAATGCCGTGAATGTTCAGGTACTGATGCCTGTGCAACTGCCCCCCAACCCAGTGTCCCCCTCCCTGAAAACTCCAGGCTGACTGTTATGGAAGGAAGGGGATAGATCCCCTCACTACACAGGGCTTCTGGGAGAAAGCATCTTCTGATGGATCAGAGCCAGCACCGGAGGCTTTGCCCAAATGGGTGTGAAGACATCTGACCCATCAGCCTGGACATCCAGTCTGTTGCTAATTCCTTCTCTCCAAAGACAGACCACAGCCAGAGCTGGGCCGGACAGCAGTGACTGTGCCACCCACCCCAGGAACCAGGGGTCGCTCCCCACACCTGTGCCGGGACCGTTGGACCAGCTGCACTTCCTGGCCTGGCAGCCCTGGCAATACTGTGTCCCTACCACAGAGGATGCCATCCATAGTGTCTGGACCTGGGAGGAGACAGAAGGAAGAAACCAGGCAGTTTTGCCTAGGTACGTGGTATCTGACACTAACAACTGCTACATGTTATATGCCAGGTGCCCACACAGGTCCTGGCATTTAATTACCACAGGACACTGAGGTACAGAATATTAAGGGATTTGTCCAATGTCACCCTGCTCGTGAGAGGCAGAAGAGGACCTGGAGCCCAGGACTGACTCCAAAACATGTTTGGGGGGGAGGGGGGAGTGTTACTTCTCCCATTCCCTCTCCTTCTCCTCCCACCACCCTCTGGTAAGTCACACTGCTGAACTCAGGACCCCATGGCACTGGGGGAAGCCCAGACAGGCAACTAGCAAAGCTCAGGCTCTGGGTCCCCACAAGACACCCTCGCTGTGTCTCACAAGCTCAAAGCCAATGGACAAGCCAGAACCTGAGCTGCCTGCAGCTTCCTCGACCTCTCAGCAAAAGCGCGACGACACTGGAATACCAGGGGCCTGGCAAGCTCCCGGTTACAACAGGGGGAGGGGCAGCCCACCGGCAGGTGGGTGGGTCCAGCTGGAGGCTCCCTGGCACAGGCTCAGATTCCGATCTTCTGGCAGAAAGGCGGACAAGGTGGGAGTTGGGGTCACCCTGGGCTGCCTCCAGATTACTCCGAATCTGCCCTCGGCCCTTCCCAGCCCCTCAGCGGACCCGAGGACCCCGGCTAGCTCTCCGAGCCTGCTTCCTCCCGCCACCCAGTCTCCCCAGTCCCGAGCCCTGCGCTTCCCAGGGCCCCGGGGCGCACCCACCTCCTCCACCGCGCTGCGCAGTTTGTGCTGCGTGTCCTCCATCAGCTCCTCCACCTCGCGGAACATCTCGTTGAGGGTGGCCTCCTCCTGCGGGTAGCTGAGAGCCGGGCCGGGCTCATCAGGAGCCGAAGTTGCAGTCGGAGCCGGCAAGGGGGCTGCGGGGATCGCTGCCAGCAGCAGCAGGCACAACAGGGTGCCCCAGGGCCGCCCCATCTCCGCTCTGCGCCTGGTGCCCGCCTGTGCATCAAGGAACCGCTGTCAGAGCGCGCCCACCCCCTCGCCAGCCTCCCCGCCACGCCCCGCAGCCCCCGGCTCTGCGTCTCGGCCCGCCCCGGGGCTTCTGTTCCCCGCCCCCTTCACCCTCCCCCCCCACCCCCCAAGGAACGAAACCGAATCCCCCCGGGACGCAGCTCCCTCGGAACCAGACGCAAACCCCGCATCCAGCCCTGCGCCCCAGCGCCCCAACGCCCCAGCGCGCCGATCCCCTCCGTGTTCCCACCTCCATGCTCACGCACAGGCTGTGCTCGGCCCCCTCCCCAGCATCAGAACCCGGGGCCCCAGACTAACAGCCCCCAGCTCACCCCCCCCCCCAGCTCCTGGGTTCCGCGGGCACGAGCCCTGCCCTCTCCGGATCAAGTCAAAGCGCGCAGCTCTACTGCGGACACCGCAACCCTACTACCCCAGTCCCAGGTAGGTGATAATAGCGCAACTCTCTTCTGGGTCGAACCCGAGACCAGCGCCCGGCCCCTCTCCCACACAGGCGAGCCAAGCAAAGCCATCCCCATCCCCATCCCCGCCGCTGCCCCGCACCCACCCGACTGGACGGAGCTGTGCCCGGGACTGGACCTGCCGGGCCTCGCTGAGGCCGCCGCGGGGCTGCCGGAGCGGGAGCGGCGCGGGGGGCGGGCAGGGGGCTGGAGCGCTGGGGATGCCGCAGCGCTAGTACCGGGGAGCCCCCTCGCCCCGCCCACCCGCCAGGCCCCGCCCCCGGGGAGGGGCCGCGCTCCGTGCGTCGCCATTGGCCAGCGAGGCGCCTGTCACCTCTCCCCGCCCCTGGCGGCCTCCTCTGCCTCCTCTACCTCCATGGTCCAAGCCATAGGAAGCCATAGCCTTCCCTGAATCCCAGAGGCCCGGGGCATCCCAGGCCATTGTCATCTCTGGCTTGATTCTTTTTATTTTATATATATAATTTGATTTTTTACAGAGAAGAAGAGAGAGGGATAGAGAGTTAGAAACATCGATGAGAGATAATGATCGACCAGTTGCCTCCTGCACACCCCTTATTAGGGATGTGCCCGCAACCAAGGTACATGTCCTTGACCGGAATCGAACCTGGGACCTCTCAGTCCGCAGGCCGACGCTCCATCCACTGAGCCAAACCGGTTTCAGCTTCGGCTTGATTCTTGCAAAACAGCGTCCTGAAGGGGGCACCACTGGGAAGAGGTTGTTCCTGTGTCCCACCTGGCCCTCCCCTCCAAACCATCCTCCTCCACTCAGCATGTAGCCCTGCAGGATGAAATCGCAGCCCTTCAGCTTGGCGTTCAAGGCCCATCAAAGGCGGGCCTTTATCAATCTGCCCTGGTTGATCCCCTACTCCATCCAAGAAAGCCCACCGGTAGCTCCGGGGATAGGTTAGGAGAGTGTTCGCAGGCCTGTTGCGGCGGATGGCACAGTGGTTAATACCAGTCAGCCGCAGCCAGGCTGCTCCGTGAACCCCAGCTCTGCTCCCTAAGACCTCCTCTCTCTGGCCAAGGTACCAGTCTGTCTGTGCCCTGGTGCGCGCCAATGAAAGATGGAGGTTAACAGCTGTAAGTGTTAACTTACATGGTTAACAAGCATGATGCGTGTGGGAATTGTGCGGCCCCTGTGGGTGGTGTGTTCGCTGTCATCATGGGAACAGAACTGACTTATTCACAGCAAGCAGTCTCCCCAGGACCTAGGACAGGTGGCAATCACGTTTTTTCTTTTTTAAAATTACATGAGTGCCTAGAACAGGGATTACTCACACTTTTCTTTTTTAAATAAACAAGTGTTTTATGTGTCAAACCTCCTCCTATTTTTTCCTATTACTCTTTCTGTCTGGACATTGCCAAAGCACCAAGTGCTTCCCTAGTGCAGCCCTGCCTTGCCACGATCTACCTGGTCACTGGCCCATCTCCCCTGCTCCCTCTACCCCCACCCCCAGGAACCAGGAGCTTGCTCCCTTTTGTGTCACCAGAGCCATTATACACGCATATCCCTGAGCTACAGCTGTTAATCTAGTAATGAATACAGCAGCGCCATTACTGAGCACTCACTATGTGCCAAGCACAGGCATAGCTCATCTAATTCTTAACCTCTGAGGTTGGTAGTACTATTTCTATTCCCATTTTACAAACAAGGGCACTTTCCTAAGGCCACACAGCTGGGAAGCGATTGAACTGGGATTTGAACCTAGGAATCTGGCGCCAGGGCCTTCACCCTTCACTGTCAAACTCCTCTGCTATACACCTGGCTGGGAGGTGCTGGGTATAAAGATGTTTACTGAAGCAGGAAAATGGATAAACTGGGTTTCTACAGACAATAGGATACAGCAATTAAAGTAATGGACAATATTCCGCTGAGACCGGTTTGGCTCAATGGATAGAGCGTCGGCTTGGGGACTGAAAGGTCCTGGGTTCGATTCCAGTCAAAGGGCATGTACCTTGGTTTCGGGCATATCCCCAGTAGGGGGTGTGCAAAAGGCAGCTGATTGATGACTCTCTCTCATCGATGTTTCTAACTTTCTATATCTCTCCATTCCTCTTTGTACAAAATCAATAAAATATATTAAAAAATAAAATAAAATAAAGTAATGGACAATATTCCTAGGCAACAACATGGATAGCTCTCAAAGAAACATAATGTGGAGTGGAAAAGGCAATTTGCAAAGTGATATGTACAGAATACTATTGGTGCATATTTTGAAAACACAAAACAATAGTACATATTGTTTATGGATAGCACAAATATAGTAAGATAAATAAATAAATAAATAAAAAATCCAGAAATGTGCAGGCTGCCGCTGAGGTGGGAAGCAGGGAAAAAGATGGGGACCATCCTCAGTTGCATTTATAACATTTTATTTCTCTTTAAGAGAGACTGTGTACACAGTGTGGAGGAGTTCTGTAGCAAAAATGTCCAAATAGTCACATCTGTTTAATCATCACAGTTGAGTAATTACATGTGGGTTTATGGGTGTGTCTTTTGCATTGTTTCCTGTATATTTAAAATAGTCTGTGAAAACATTGAAACAAAACAACACGAAATGCAAAAGGCAAGCTCCCCAACCCCCACTCACAAAACAAAACAAAAAACCTCTTATGGACAAATAAGACTTTTCTCAGGTCTGTTCTTGACAGAAAGGCTCTTGCCCCAAAGGCCCAGTGGTGGCCTCCATCACTGTGAGGTGGGAGGCAGGAGTGGGAGGGCCCACACAGGCTCAGGTGGAGGGCATTTCTCTCCATGAAAGGCCCTCTGTCTGCTTGAATGGGTGGGAGCTCTCCTCCTGGGTGGATGGAAGCTGGAGCCTGTTAATGGCTCTGGGCAGCAGATAAGGCTTATCTGTTCCTTTCCCAGGGGAGGGAACAGTACACAAACAAGGGGACCTCAGAAACCCAGAACTTCTGGGCACTCAGTCAGGATAGGTGACTATTATGCACTGATTTTTATTTTATTTTATTTTATTTTTACATTTTAACCATTCAGAATAATTAATTAGACCAGGGGAGGGTTGCTTGTACATTTCTCTCTTTTTCTTTCCCTTTCATCTTAAATCGACTGGACTTGACCTAACTTGGGAAAAAGGTGAAGAGATGGCTGAGAGATAGTAACACATCTGCATAGCTATTTGATATCTGTGTTCCCTGCAAGAGTACGAGCCATGTGAGACAGCATGGGATGTGGGATACTGTCTCTGCAACCAGCTCCAGTCCAGCCGGGGCTTGCAAAGCATTAGCATTCAATGAGGAGATGCTGAATGAATGAGGGGGCTGCCAGAGCGGGGATCCTGGCCCTCAAGGAATGTAAAAAAAAAAAAAAAAAAAAAAAAAAAAAAAAAAAAAAAAAAAATATATATATATATATATATATATATATATATATATATATATATATATATATATATATCAAAGGTAAGCAGACAATGCCAGAGAATAAGATGGAGGAAAGGACAGAGAAAAACTGGCACTAAAGGAAAACAACAACAACAAATGGGTGAGGAAATACAAATTGCTAGTTATAAAAATAGTCACAGGGATGTAAATTACAATAGGGAATATCCTGTATAACAAAAGGGTAATATGCAAGTCGACCAAATGGCAGAACAAAGGGTCGGTATGTCCCACACTGACCACCAAGGGGCAGATGCTCAATGCAGAAGCTGCCCCCTGATGGTCAGTGTGTTCCCACAGGGGGAGTGCTGCTCAGCCATGAGCCAGGCTGACCTATGGTGAGCGCAGGGGTGGGAGGCAGGATCCTCTTCTGCCTCCGCAGCAGCACTAAGGATGTCTGACTGCAGCTCAGGCCCGCTCTCTGTGGGCTCCCAGACTGTGAAAGAGCACAGGTGGACTGAGGGACACCCCTCCTTCCCAACAGTGCATGAATGTCGTGCACCGGGCCTCTAGTAGTCGATATACTAGTAATAACTATGTGTGGTATTGGGTGGGTACTAGACTTACCAGGGTGATCACCTGGTAAGGTATATAAATGTCTAACCACTATGTTGTACATCTGAAACTAATATAATATCGTATGTCAATTGTAGTTGAAAATAAATTATAAATAAATAATAAATAAAAAGAAAGTAACAAAAGCTAACTCTTTCCAGAGCGTCCATGGGGGTTGTCCACCCCTGGTGCAATGAGTCCTGGGGGGAGTGGGGCATTGTGTGGTGTCCACATGGATGACTACCTCTCAGTTTGTTTAGATTGGAGGTTGGCTTCTTTCTTGCTCATCAGATTCTTTCTTGGATTTTGAGACTGGAAACACCATCCAGTTGCTTGAGGAACAAAAAACAATATGGAGAAAGTTAGAGAGAAAGGAGGAATGAGGGGGATGGGATATTCAGAGAAGTGAGAGTCCATGCGTCTGAGAGGGGAATGATGGGGCAGGGGAGGGGGGAGAGCAACTGCCTCGCTCCATGGTTCATTCTGGTTCTTGGTTGTAGTCTTTTGTGACGCTGAGACCCAGCTGCA